ATGTTCATTCATACAAATGAATGCTGTAGTCCCACAAAATTTGGCAGGTGAGAAATGCCCAATCCCAGTCATTTTGCAGTCTAAATGAGGGTATACTTTAACTGAATTGACTCACTATCAACATTTCCTTATTTCAAGGCATGCATGTTTCTGTGTCCTCCAGTGTCTCTCTGATGTGTTTTACATCCCAGTTGTGCTAGTGCTTGCAAGCCAATGATCCCCTTCACACAATTCTGTCTGCCCAGTGCAACCTGCAGACCATCTTTGGTCTGCTTTGAGAACCATCCTGTCAGGCTTTGCCCATGATAGTTCCAAGTTGAGAGAGCACAACTTTGTAAAGGGCCCTTGCTAACCGTGAGTACTTCTTCTTTAGCCCCCGACAGTCCCGTGGTGCAGACACATCACCCCTTACAAGAAGGAAGTCATATGACCGGGGTCAGCCGATCAGGTGAGCATCTGTGTGTGTGAGGGAGAGAGAGAGAAAATACACATGCATGCCAATTAAGAGATGTTCTTGTGCTTTGCTTATGATCCAGGAATTGGATTGCTTTGAGATGGAGGATCTAACAATAGTGACAAAGTGATGACTGCAAGGGACTAGGGAGAGAATGCATTTCTCATCAATGTAAATCATTGCATCTTTCTTTCTTATCTAGAAACCCAGATGTTGGATTCACTCCTCCCTCATCCCCTCCTAGCAGGCCACGCAATGACCGCAACGTCTTCTCTCGCCTCACCAGCAACCAGAGCCAGGGCTCAGCTCTAGACAAGTAAGACCAACTCTGAGACTTTGAGAGACTCTTACCCCAGGAATGAATGGAAAAGCTAGCAGCTACTGGTGCTAGAAATATTTTCTACTCACATTCTGCTCTACCCATGCTAAAGAACTAAATGTTTTTTTCTTTGACCTCCTGATAGTTATTACATTTGTGCTGGAATTAGTCCTCACCATGGCATTGATGTACAGCAGGGGTAGGCAACCTGTCCCCTTTAAGGACCGAGGGACTTCAGCTCCCAGAAGCCTCAGCCATGTTGGCCAATAGTCCCATGTTGGCCAATAGCTCCTGGGATGCTGGGAGCTGAAGTCCCTCGGCCCTTAAAGGGGACAGGTTGCCTACCCCTGAATTGTACAGTGACCATAAGATTACCTTGAAAACTTTCAAAATAAGTAGGGAGTCTAAGTGGCACTGTCATATTAAGCCTTCTACCCAGGGCCTGACATCTTTGTTAGTCTTAAAGTAGAGGTAGAAATCATGTGACCTTTAAGATCTTTTTGAACTGCACGTCCCAGTAGCCATAGCCAGCATAGGCAATGGTGATGAATGTTGGGAATTGCATTCCAACAACATGGTTGTGTGTGTGCATGATTCATACCCCTGATGTAAAGCTAGAAAATCTTCCCTACTGTTGTAGCTTCACTTCACCCATGCTTTTGAAATAAGTTTGGTGCTGAGAGGTGTGGAAGCTCAACTATGTATGCAGCCTGTCAGGGCCATCTGCCTTTGTTGTCAGTTTTTAACTCAAGCTATCACTGCTTTTGGTCATTCTTGTCCTATCTTCCATGTTTGGGTGGGTTTGCTTTAAGATCTGTTACCTTTTCTTCTGATGTGTGTTGTAACTTAACACAAAGTCATTTCACTGTTAGTTGTGACATAATTGACACAGCAACAGCTTAATGTAATGGGATGTCTTTTATCATATAATTCAGCCTAGGGGCACAATGCTGTCTTCAAAGAAAAGAAAAGAACCTGTTGGGACCCACCTGGGGATAGCCAGCTGAAACGTGTGTTTTTATAGAATGACCTCTATGAGCACAGTGTCCACAATAAATGTAGCTGCTGGCCACTTATCCATGCCCAGGAGCTTTGGGTAGGTATGCCTGGTATGTGTGTAAACCTGTATTCTGGTAGAATACAGGTTTATGCACACACCAGGCATACCTACCCAAAGCTCCTGGGTAGAATACAGGTCCTCATTCTGGAAGAATCAGACATGCACAATAATTCATAGGAATCTTTTTTTCTCAAAATCAGTTTTTAGTCCTTGTAGCTACAACAGTAGGTTTGTAAGTGTGTGATGAATGCATAGTAAAATCTCAAATAGTCTCTGTTCATGTCCCTCTGCTTCCAAGCCCCTTTCTGTCTGTGGTCTGTCCTTTTTCTGCCCTGCTAGCTTGGATGCAATAACAACCTTCCCTTTTCTGTCTTCTTGCTGCTGCTTTTCCTTCTGGTTTTATTACCCATAATCCTGCTAATTTTCTGTCCCCTAGGTCTGATGACAGTGACTCCTCTGTCTCGGAGGTGCTGAGGTATAAAACTTACTGTTTATTATATAACTCTTCCAGCCTTTCTCTTTTTTCATACTTTCCCCTTCCCTGCATTTAAAACCTGCATGTGACCAAACCTTGTGTGGTGTTTCCTATTTTGTGCCTGCTTCTGCTTTCTGAGCACTAGATTTGCTTCCCAGCTATCTATAGAAAGCCAGCCCAACCTCATAGTTACCTAGAGCAGCATGGGTTTTCCCTATCCTGTAGTTGTTCCTGTTTTGTTCACACTGAAGCCAGCAACTGCTGCTTGTATAGTCAGGATACATGATATGGTTAAACACCAAGCTACCAATTCAGTTGTATCTGAAAGTTTTAGTCTGTTTCTCCAGACCTTAAAAGTTGCCAACTTGTGACATGTCAATTTGGACTTAGACCACCAACACACACCTTCAGATAATGCATGTGTGTAGTTGTAACCAAGAATAGCTGCTGACTGGTTGCATGCATTGCCACTGTGCCATTATTTTAATTAATCTTGTTTTGAATGCTGGAGTTGTTTAGACATCTGAGTAGTTACTAGTCCTCATGATGGTAGAAAGAAGTTTGGGAAATATGCTGGCAACTCTTCTTCAAGGTTCAGCATTCTTCCTTCTATAAAGCTATGGTTCCTAGTGTACCATTGCAGTTCAATGTTCTAGTTCCATTTTTAAAAATCTTCTGTTACATTATGAAAGCTAAATATGGTATATTTTTCTAACTGGCATAATGCCTTCCAGTCTTGTATTGTGAATATTTGAGAAGTTCTGAGCACAGAACAATGTACCACACAGTTACTCTGGTCACTAGATCTTGTGCTAAAGCAGCAATAGGCAGGATAACAATGCTTTTCCATTCTTTTTAAATATTTCAGATGTTAAACACACTTTAGATAGAAGATAGAAAATACATTCATTATCCAGTCCCATTGAAGATGAATGTATTTTCTATCTTTGGCTGTATAAGGGAAGAAAACCTGCTAATTCAGTTCTTACCACCATGACAAGTCAGTTACAGTGTACAATTTCTTGTCCATAAATGTTGACACTGAAAATGCATTTTAGAAGTCATCTTTGCTTTCTAGTAGCAGCTGTTGCTTTCACATCACCTGCAACTACAGGGGTTGCCTACTCCTTCTAGTGAGCCCTCGTCCTAACATTGTGGGCATTGTTAGGCATAATATGTTATGATGGGAAGAATGTTTTTTAAAATCTCTGTGTATTATCACTTACATTTAGTCAAAATTAAAAAAAACAAGCTAATTCTTCCACTGGGTGTTCAGAAACCTTTGCTATCTCATCCTTTGCTTGACTGCTAATGACCTGTACTTTCTCCATGAAAATCTTATTTGTTCTTCAGTTTACTTCCTTTTCTAATCCCATTACTCAGATAGCATTAGCTAAACCTCCTAATGAGAGCAATTTCTCCCTGGTCTTGCAATCCTATGTACATTTAGGAAACCGCTGATGAATAGGCATAAGGTGAATGTCTTGGGATTAGGTACTAACAACAGCTGTAGAGAAGTGTAGAATATGTGCTGATGATGAAATTCCTTCTTGATAGTATCTCAGGTAGCCATAGGACTGGATTTGAAAAAAAATGACAAGTCAGTACACTAACTGTCACACCATTCAATTGTGGAAGGCCTTAACAGCCCACTTGGCAAGTAGTGACTGCTAAAGCCATTTATTTATTCATTAATTATAACTTGTTGCTGGATTTAAATATTTGTATTTCACTTTTTCTCAGCTAGTTGTGATCATTTATTTTTCATAGTCAGAAATTTTGTGATGGTGAGATGTTATGAAGAGTCAGTGTGGTGTAGTGGTTTCAGCGTTGGACTATGACTCTGGAGACCAGGGTTTGGATCCCTGCTCAATCATGGAAACCCACTTGGGCAAGTCACATTCTCTCGGCCTCAAAGCCAAGCAAAGGCAAATCCCCGCTGAAAAAGCCTTACCAAGAAAACCCCAGGATAGGTTTGTCTTAGGGTCACCATATGACAGAGAGACTTGAAGGCACACAACAAGCAATATTATGGGTTCAATTTGGCAGCACTAAACTGAATGTTAAGGTTTGAAAATTGTGTCCCATCCAGGAAGCAGAAATATGGTCCCCTGTTCCAGTTGTGAAATAGTAAAAACCATTAGTGGGAAGAGGGTGCTAATCCAGGATGTTTTCCTCTTATCCACAATCGCTATTCCCAGGACCTCCTCTGCTGCCGTCCCCACTTGACACAGCCAGTGTATAAAAACAATGCATTGTGGCAGCCAATCCAGCTCTGCTGCAATATTTCCAAACTGGCTACAGAAAGAGAAAAATGGAAGATTGCAACATCAGGAGAGAATTTAGACATTCCCTGGGTTTTCCATTTTCCTGGCTGTTGTCCTCACTCTTTGTCTTGCTTCCAAGGTTTTAGGCTTTCCTAGTTCCTGACTGAACTGTGTCCAGTGTCAAAAGATATAAAACAAAGAAAGAGAATTCTGTGCCTCCTCTGACTCTCATCCTGTATGGCCTTTAAGTAACTGTTGCCTGTTTGGTTATCCCTTGTATTCAAATCAGAAAATGCATCCCACCTACCTACGTCCAAAAATTGTTCCAAACTTATCAGGCAAAATAAAAATTGTCAACCAGAGGGTAATGAACTTGTTTAATGCAGAACTCAGGTGGTAGCGTTCTTTGGTAGAGGTCCTGATTTGTTAAGGCAATAAGGGCACTTTCAGATACACAATTATAGCACTATGATTCCATTTTAACTGACAGGGCTTCAACTATAGAAACCTTTCTCTCACTCTGTCTCTCTCGCTCTGTATGTATTTTGGTTTGGTGAAGCAGTAGAGCTCTCTGGCTTAGAATTCAAAGTTTCTCTACTTAAACTGCAAATCCCAGGAGTCCAGAGGATGGTGTCATGGCAGTTGAAGTGCTATAACTGTAGTGTGAAAGGGCCCAAGATCCTTATATAATTTCCTTTTGGTATCCATCTGAAACAGCTGATCTGATACATTTACTGGATCAAGTAGATGTCTCATATAATAGATCTTCTGAATCTATGCAGTCGTGAGCAAGAACAAAGTAGATGTTATTTAGATGTTGAGGCCAGGGGCCTTTGGCTGCACTGGTGTTAAGGCAAAGCCATCTTACATTTCATCCTGGTCTTGCACAAAGAAAATTTGATATTCCATTTGGTAGGAACTTTGCAGAAGGGAAATGATAAATGAAACTACAGTATAGTGAATTTGAACTATTGATGAAGGGGCTGTGGCCCAATACTAAAACATCTGCTTTGCCTGCATAAAGTCCTAACTCAGTCCCTAACATCTCCAGGCATTGCTAGAAAGACTCCTGTCTCAGCCACTCAGTCAATGTAGATGTTCCTCAGTTGGAGCTGTGACAGGCAACTTCCTATGTTCCATTGCTAAGGCAAATGACAGTCTGTGTATGAATTTCCTATGTCCAGATGTCCAGTATACATGTTAGAGAAGGTGTGTTGGCTTATAGAATGTTATTAACACCAGTGAAAGACATCTCATATCCCTTAATATTGCAGTGGGTCTGGCCCAGAATTTTATGATGTGCTCCTCAGCTTAATTTTGCATGTGCCTGTCTGTCTTTTTTCTTTGAGCTTGATGTGGATCTGGTCCTTTCAGCAGGCCACGTCTTCTGAGCAGTGTGAATTCTCTGGTGCATGCTTGGTTGCTGTTAAGATGTCTACTTACTCCGGCTGCAAGATGCCCCTCTCTCAGTAACTCTCCTTTTCTCCCATGCAAGGGGCATCATTAACCCGGTGGGAGGCTCCAGGAGTGCCCGGACAGCCCCACTACAGTGCATCTCTGTGGCAGAGGGACACACCAAGCCTGTTCTGTGTCTGGATGCTACTGACGAATTATTGTTTTCTGGATCCAAAGGTGTGTGTGTGTGTTTACAGAAGGGCAGAGATTGCCTCTAATGGCTTGGAACTAACTCTGGGCCAGAAGTTCTGAGTGCAGACAGTTTTGAACAGGCTGTCTGTAGGAGTAGGTTTAAGTAATACCTTTTAGAAATATCACATTCTAATTGTTTTCTAGAACAAAGACGCTATTGTATATTTGCATATACATATAAAAACAGAACCCAGAAAAAAGGAAAACATGTATATTCTGGATTGGACCATTCAGATTTGATATTTGAGTTAAAACTAACTGCTCCTATTTTACATGGTACATGCACACATTTTTTTAAAAAATGTCAGACATATATTAGTTACACTGGAGAAATATATTGGTTTTCACAGAAGATAGTAGTTTCTACTCTTGGATGAGAAACCAAATTAAGTTCATCAGACCTGAAGTGTTCTTTTATTTTCAAAGATCGAAGCTGCAAAATGTGGAACTTAGTGACTGGCCAGGAAATTGCCTCTTTGAAAGGCCACCCAAACAATGTTGTCTCCATAAAATACAGCAACCATTCTGGCCTGGTATTCACAGTCTCTACCTCTTACATCAAAGTGTGGGACATTCGGGACTCTGCGAAGTGTATCCGCACTCTCACGTAAGTACTTGGATTATCTCCATTCTGTGCTTTAGAGTTCTTCCAAACTTTGATGTAGCCATTTAGGGGTTTACAAATTGTTTCTTCCTAGCCATGGTTAACAATAGTTAAATAATCTCTTACACATTGAAGTGGGGCTATTTTCCTCCAATATTAAAGTGTAATCCCTCTTCCATATTTCTTTGAATTTTTAAAAAAGTACACACAAAAATTTGTACAAATCTCATGCACAAATTTTATGCACATTTTTCTTAAAGTGTGCATTTTATATACTCATTCCCCTAATGTGTTTTTGAATATTATTTTCACTAGTATATGCATTCTTGGCCCCGTGTTTTTGCTATCCTCGAATTTGTATCCATGCTTTGATTAGAGAAATGCAAAATTCAGAATTCAGTTAAGTGTAAATGCTGAACAGTAACTTTGTTACAGTTCATGTATAGATTTGGGGTGTATGAATTAGATTGATTCATATTAAAATGTGATCCAAGTGAATTTCTCTCACATCCCTATCTTACATGACAAGGCTAACTAAGCTGTGTGATTGCTCAGTTTGCCTTCAGTTGCTAAATAATTGCTAATACTTGGGTAGCATGACACGTGGCATCTTGTTGGGGCACTATTAGAATAACTGCTAGGAGTGACCACATTTGTATTTTTTTACAAGTTTGCATAAGCAGATATCTGATACCAGTTCTCTATTCACCCGCTGGTGAGCTGTAGGCTGGCTTACCAACCAGTCAGTGCATGGATGCAACTTTGCTTCTCTCACAACTAGTGGTCATAGATTGGCTTCAAGGTACAAAGGGATGCCACTAGCTAACTCGCCACCACCATATTGCTACTGGGCTGGCTTCTTCCATTTCCTATGTTTTTAGGCAAGTAGAGCTTTTATGCTCAGCTGATTTAAAACAGAATCCAGCCTATGTTTGCAGTAGCTTCTAGTCTGGTGGCAGTTTTTCTATGCCTTTTGCTTTCTGCAGAACTAGATGGGCATCTCTGCACTGTGCAGTCCCTTTTTTGTCATGAGGCCCCTCTTTGCATCCCAATATCTACAGGTCAAACTAGATGTGATACAATTTTTCAACAACAACAAAAAAGCTAAATAAAAAAAGCCAGACTGGGAAATGCTCAACTGAATCAGAACTAGGAGGGAAGAAATCACAACCTCACACCAGCTATTTGCAGTAGGGAAAAAAACCAATTCTAGTTGGGACTGTGATAAAAAGCAAAACGTCACAGTCCAGCTTGCCTTCTTTCTCCCTGCACGCTCGCACTGGCTGTGTATTTCTGAATAATATTTTGTGCCATGGCTAATTTGCCTATCATTAGACTTTTGGTCTGTTTTTCAAGCTAGAACGGGAAAAAAGATTGTGTGTTTCTTAGGTGTTCTTAGTTCTTTTGGTGGATAAAGGGAGGAGGAAGAAATCAAGTTCAAGTCATGAGCCAGCATTT